AACTTTTCCATTGATTTAGCGACCGATTTAAATCGGTCGCTATTTTTTTACCTTTGTCATTGATTTAGCGATCGAATTAAATCGGTCGCTATTTAGCGACCGATTTTCATTTCGGTCGCTAAATAGCGATCAATTTAATTCGGTCGCTAATTAGCAACCGACTTAGCGACCAATTTTATATATTAATTTCGGTCGCTATTTTGCGACCGAAATAAAATCGGTCGCTATTTTGCGACCGAAATGAAAATCGGTCGCTAACACATTAGCGACTAGGCTTTTTGCGACTACTCATTTCGGTCGCTAATTTCGGTCGCTAACTGATTAGCAACCGATTATTGGGCATTAGCGACCGATTTTTTCGGTCGCTAAAATGCTTTTTTCTTGTAGTGTCAGTTGAAATTACTTGATTCTATTCGTCTATATTCTTGGAAGTGGATATCTTCGACTGGTATGAGAATGTCTTGTAACCTTGTAGACTGACACAATAATCCTTGGATATGTTTTGTTTAGCGTGTTTTTTAATAATTTTTCTCTACTTTGTATTGTACTCTATTTTTAGGATCTAAGTACCCCTTGTACTTAGTTTAATTAATTGATGTTATTTGCTTATCAAAAATAATAATAATAATAATATGTGAATCAAAATACAGATAGTGAGAGATGTATATTTATCATATCACACAGGAAATGTATTTTATTGGAATTTTAAACAATTTTTTCATTTAATTTAAAAGATTGTTGTAGAAAATAAAGAAACTAAAATATGTTTATGATATTTTTTTAATTTATATATTAAATAATTTATAAAATATAAAATCATAATGTCTGAAAATATGAGATTAAAAGAATATTTAAAGAATTTAATGTATTTGTAATAAATAAAATTTGTTATTTCTGAAAACAACTAATGATAATATTAATATATAATAATATTAGATACTTACATAGATAAATAATTTTAATACATTTAAATTGTTTTTTTTTAATATGAAAACTAGCCAACCCATGTCTAATACGATTCAATTTCATTTTACTTATAAGGAAAATCTCACTTGAAACTCTTCAATTTTTCAAATTTAACCTACCACGAAACATTTCGAGTCGTGTTGATTTATGGGTTAAAATTCATTTTAATACCTCAATTAAAGTATGAATTGGGGTATAAAAAATTTAGTATATTTTAATAGGATTGTTTTATCAAAATGACATTTATATATAGACACAAAATATATAATCAATAAAATATTTTGTTAAAATTTGTTTGAGTTTTAATATTAGATAATCCGTTTTTATTTTTAAAATTCGTAATTAAAATTCATAAGAATTGTTGTTATCGGTCAAAAATATCTTTATATTATTAGTTGAATTTTATAAGATTTTTTTAACATTTAAAACTTTGTTTTAATACTAAAAAACTTTTGTAAAAATTAATATTTTTTGTTTTGTTTTATTAGTTGACTTGGTCAAACATTGATTTATTAATATTCAAATTATTTTCATTTATAAATTGATCAGTATTTATCACTTATTGAATATTAATTTATACTTAAAATATTTTAGAAGATACATATAAGTATATCTTAATCTCAAAAAATTATGTATTAATCTTTTCTAATAATATGACATTTTTGGATATGAATGACCTTATATAATCTCACATAAAAAAATACGAGTAGTCAAATCACTATTCAATAATATATAATAGAGAAAAATATGTTTTTATATAATAATTATTAATATTTAGTATAATTAAAATATTTATTTTAATTTGATTTTATTAAGTGTTTAATCATTTAGAGAAATAATTAATTTTATGTCACTTTAATCATTAAATGATGTCTATACTTATATTGTAGATATAAATGACTTTGGACAACATAAAAAAAAAAATCATTCATTTATTGCTAAAAAATTATTTTAAAAAACTTGACTAACATAATGACTCTAATCATGCATACATATCTACAATTAATTATGACATTTTACGAAATTAAACTTTTATACAATTAAAATTATACATATAAGGAAATATTGATTACCTAATGATTAATATAATGTAATATAAATTATTTTTTAATGATAATAATAAAAATTTTAATAGGATAATTATTGTTATATTAAGAAATAATAAAATATTTTAAATATACTAAATATAAATATTTATTATAATTATTGTATAACTAATATATTTTATCCTAAATAATATATGTTTAACATTACTAATATATACTATGATAGCATAAATGTGAATCTAATTAAGTAATATAAAAATAAACTATTTAATAAGATTTTCATTGTATTTATAATTTATTATTATTTTTGTCCAATCTTTGAACAACATGACCTCAATTTGAATACAAAACTTTAGAAAAATGACATGGACATGAAATGGGTTGGCCATAAAGATGAGCGTAGTAAATGGCATTTGACATGCAGATCCTGCGTGGCCCATAAACATTTAATAGAGAGTAAGGAAAAAATGGAAAATTGCAGGAAAGGGCGTGTCCTTGTGCTTCAAAAACCCCATGCTTCGGCATGATTAGGTGCAATTCCTTAAAATGTCAGTGACATTTTCGATGTATTCTCCTATTGTTTCTCTCCATAATTCAATTACAATTTTTAATACATCACATTCTTTCAAGTAACTAAAAACTATCTGTTCAAATTATTATACACTTACGAAAAATATATATGTTTATCTTCACACACCACAAATTCGTGGAAAATAAGTTATTGATAATATTTGTATTTTAAAGTTAAATTTGTTTGGTGATTTTACAATTTTAAATTAACAATTTATTTTAAGTTATATATTCCTGAAATTTTGGATTTACGACGAAGGAAAAGGAGAAGGAACGCCAGTGCTTTTTGCCATGAAAAAGAGTCATTCTCATCGTATAAATATGTATTGATCAAAATTTCAGTGTTACTAATTATTCCGTTTGCAATAAATTTGAAGATTATGAAGAGCCAATTTGAAATTAAAAATATTGAGGAAAAATTACATTTTTCTATGATTTCTCATAATGTCTGTGGGTTAGTAAGTATTTATGAACAGACTCTTGAATACTTTGTTACCAATTATACATAAATCTCCAAAATCAATTATGCATTTCAATTTTTTTTCCCATGAAAGTTGTTTTTACAATTTCCATCATCTTATTTTTGCAAAATCAACAATCACGAATGTTATATGGTTGGAAATTAATTTGAATTTTAAATTATATTTTATTATTGTTATTATTATTATTATTATTTCAAATATTTAACTAAATATTTTACTAATTGATTAAGATATTTAGTGGGTTAGTGAGAGAATTGACTACATGTGTCTTTGATTCAGTTTTTTAATATATTTATTTATTTTAAAATATTATTTATTTTAAATATTTTAGAGTGATATTTTGGTTCGATGATCTTTCTCTTAATACAAATTGTTTATCAAATTAACATTTCTTCTATTATGTTACTAGATTGACGAATTATTGAATTATTATTATTTTTCTCTTTCGGATGTCATAAAAATATATACAAGTTCAATAATCCTCCAACATAACATTCTACGAATTTCTAACATAATATATTTAGTATGTGCATCTTATATAGGAAATCTATGATATAATTGCAAAAAGCATCATCATGACATATTTAATTGGAACATCTTATATAGGAATTTATTATCCTAAGGTTTTTGTGGTTACACAATAGTATGGTATTCTAATTTTGACTTCGCAGGCTACATGATGTAGTTGTAGCTCACAAGTTCTTCAATGGATGAGACAACAATTGTTGGATTATTAATATTATACAATCTTGACAGTAAATCTATTAGACATGACAATGATGCCATTAACTTTATTAATAATTCTGTGTACACTTTAAGACTTATAAATGACTAAAATTTGACTCTATTTTATTATAAACCATGTGTAAAAAAAGAAGAAGAAAGATAGTGTTTTAGAATTTATGGGTAGTCATAGTGTATTAATTTTTTAAAATCTATCTTTAATTTACTTAATTTCAATCTTCTAACTTTTAATAATATGTAGTTTTATTTATTTTTAAATTAAATTTAATAAATTCTTTTATTGTCACAAAATTCATAAAATTACTAGACTCACCAAATATGTGCTTATAGTGTTTTATTTTATACCTAAGTTTAATATTTATTACTGTTTTTATTTCCATAAATTTGATAAAAAACGATTAAATTAATTTTTTTTAAGTTTAAGGAATAATTATTTTATTTTTCAAATACAAGGATCAAAACTAAATTTCACTGAAAATACAGAAATAAATTCCTCAAATTGATAAAATTATGTTAATTTTATGTATATTTAGTTGTATTGAAGTATACTTGTTGAATTTCGAGGCCTTTATACTATTTGGTGTGTTTTTACTGTCACAAACACTTCAAAATATAAGTATTTGAATACCCAGTACAAATTTATATACTTTATAATACAATTTTTGTGTACAATATTAATACTCAAGAAAAAATTATCGTTATTTTTAAAGAGGTTATAAATAATGTTAGATATTTTTGAAAAAACTAATAATAAAAATTTCTCAACACTAATCACTTATGATACAATTTTTAATCAACATTTTTCATTCATATTTATAAATTACTTATTTTTCTCCTTCCACTTAAATTCTCAATATTATGCAATAGATGGTCATTGTGATGGTTTGCATGGTGCTTTTAAGTATAATTTTTTTATGATTCCGAAAATAGATTGATATATGGAAAAGGCATGGCATGGCATGGTGATTAAGGATTTAATCATATTCACGTAAAAATAACCAAAATACACACATACACTTCAACGTCCCTACCACGGAATAAATTGAAAAGCTAAAGAGGGTTCAAAAATTGTACATGCTGTCACTAATTTACGTCACAGACAGGTATCATGTTTTCCTTCAATATATATTTAATACCTTTCATCTTTCTTCTTTCTAATACTAATTAATAAATGCATCATATATTCGTGTGTTCAACAATTATACTCCATACTCAAACTTTTTCCCATTTCCTCCTCCTCCTTCTTCTTCTTATAATAATAATAATAATAATAATAATAATAATAATAATAATAATAATAATAATAATAATAATAATAATAATATTATTATTATTATTATTATTATTATTATTATTGACAATGATATTAGTTATCTTCACACAATATCCTAATTTAAAACACCAAAATAATTTATTTCACCAAATGGCACATTAATTATTCTTTTTCCTCTTTATAAATACGTCATAACAAACTATTAGGGCAACAATGAAATTAAAAGCATAGGAAAGTTTTCTTGCCCTTAATCCATCAGTGAGAATAATGTGATGTCATGACTAAAGAATCTATTATCAAGGGATTGAGTATAGAAATGATGTAATGCAAATAAGACTAGCCAATAATTAAGTACCCATGTAATGCTTGAAATATTATTCCAACTATAGTATTTGATAATTTGACCCTTTTTTTTTGTTATTATTTGGGTGAATTAGTAGCCATTTTTTTTTTCATGCATTTGAGAGAGAGAAAAAACACTCACAAAAGCTATATAAAGTCATTCATTATGAAGTAATTATTTATGTAATTTTGAAGAAAAAGATAAAGTTAATGATGATGATGATGAAAAAGGAAGGAAAAAACATAATATTTTAATTCTTAAAACCTATAATTCATCGTAGACACTCCCAATTAATTATATGTTTGTGATTATTTTCTGTATTTTTTATGATAAAAAAAAATTGTTTCATTTTATATTTATTTATGTGTTTCTTTGTTCAAAGAATTCCACTTTTTAATTTTTTTTTATTTCTAACTCCATCACTTTCATAAAAAAAAGTGTGAAGCTTTTCCATTATACTCCTTCCTTCAAAGTTTTTTTTTTTTTTCAACTTACTCCGTCAATGCTTTGATGTGACACAGTATTACGAAGGAGAAAAATCTGAATGTACACGTTGTTCAAGGAAAAAAATGTATCCGTTTTATCGGTACTTTTAAAACTTTTAATACTTTTTTTTAATGAAAACACGAAATATACATCCTATATTCTATAAAAAAATTATTATCTTAACATGTTTTTGTTAAACGATGATTTAACAATTATAATATAATAATCATTTCATTAAATTAATTAGTCTAACTAATTTTAATTTTTATTATAAATATTGTATTTCTATAATATTTATTAATAATTGTATGAATTAGTTTATATTTGTGAAAATAATTTATAATAGGAAGAAAACTGCTATCTTTAAGTGGAATATAATAGGATAAAGTTCTTAAATTGTTGTTTTTAGTATTTTACGATGTAACACAACAAGTTTTCACCCTCTATCTTGTCCTACACTCTTAATTAGAATTTGAATTAAAAACACCATATTTCGCCCTCATCTTAAATAAAAAAATTGATTAAATATTATATTTAATAAAACATGAAAAATAAATGTGATTAGTGGTCTTAGACCTCTTATTAGACAAAATTTTTTAGACTTAATAAATTTATTATTTTACTAAATTAAAAAAAACATGTAACAGAACAAACAAAATATTTTTTTATTTATTTTACTAGTCATAAAATAATTATTTAATTACAATTTATTATATATAATAAATTTATTAATTTTACAAAAATTACAAGTTTAACCAACGATTTTTTTATGAGAAATTCACCGTATATTATCTTTAAACTCTTAATAGAAATGTCTAAATAAATGATTTTTTTTTTATAAGAAACTCATCGTCTTTTATCGTTAAATTCAATGATTTTATGCGTAACTCACTGAATATTTGACAAGTACTTAATATAATGTTTTTCCATATATAAAAAGTTATGATTATAAATATTATGAATTGTGATTTTTAGAAATAGTTCAAATCTATTCGGTTGGTTTAATATATATATATATATATATATATATATATATATATATATATATATATATATTAAAAGTGAGTTTTATATATTTTAAAATTGTTATTAATTTAAATTATTAAACAAGAATGTTGAAAAAAAAACGAGTAACATGATGTTTTTTATATATTACTTTAGATTCTCACATCTTTTTACATGTTGGTTTTTTTTTTTTTTAATAAAAGCTTGATGAAAAATTATCTCAAAAATACATTTTCTTAGAAAGTTGTTTAAAAAAATAGAATAAAAACAAAAATTGAAAAATATTAGCTCACCTTCAAAGTTTTTGGAAACTTAAATATTTCCTTTTGCCAAACTTAAAAAATAAAATAAAAACAAAATGTACTTCAATTTAAACTATTACATATTTTTCTTAATCGAGGTTTAACACGTTTTGCAAGTTATTAAAATCAGTGTATTGAGAGAAACCTAATTGACCAGCTCTACCCTTATCAGGGAGGAAGATAGACCTTCCTTCATCCAACACATACAATGTTTGACCCAATTTATTATTATTTTTTTCTTCTCCTTAAAAGGAGAAATTACCCCAAACAGATTTTTTTTTATGTACTTTATTTAAAAAACAAAATAATAATAATAATAATATAATTAATTATGTTATATTTTTGAAGCTTTGTTTTCTTAACATATTATTATTAAATTTTTACAAACTTTTGAGCTTACAAACAATTTAAAATACATCTCAAACAATTTTCTTATGCTTATCACTACATAAAAAAAGTTACGTAGAATTTTCTTTTTCATAAAGATCTTTTCTCCATTTCTTCATTGATTATTATCATACCACTCATTCATTTATGTGATATTTTGGATATCGTAATTATTATTGATCTGAACGATATTATATTAAAGAATTTGAATGAAGATTTAAAAAAATATATTTAATCCTTCATTTTTGGGAAATTATATTTTAATATATTTATAAGTTTTATATCATTTTAAATTTAAGGTGAAGAATCATTTATATATAACTTTTTATATAATTTGCTAAGATATATTTTAAAAATAGAATTGAGTTTAATCTCTAAAATGAATAATATCTTAAATATAGTTAAAAAATATTATATTAAAAATATAATTATACTATTTTTAATTGGATTTTTAAATATTAATAATAATATTTTAAACTTATATTAATAATAGTTCTTTAGAATGTTTGGGAAAAAAGTACTCAATATTTATATACTAGTAACATTTGTTTATTAAATATTTTTAATTTAATATATTTTAATATTATTATTATATTTCTCTATTTTTTTAAAGATATTATTGAACAACAACATAAAATATCTTTAAGATTTTCAATATTTATGATTAATGTATATCATTTGTAAATCGTCACTAAAATAAATTTATTTTAACATATATATATATATATATATATATATATATATATATATATATATATGTCACATATAAAATAAACTGCATAGAAAAAAATCATTACAATTCTCTTGTAACAGGTAAGACTGGTTAAATTTAAAATACGTGTTTTTTTAAATAAGGAAATCAGTTTGTTTAAAGTTTAAATAAGTGTTATATGAAACAAATAATTTTTAAAATATTTATTTGTATAATTAGCAAAAAGAGTGTTCATTTGTTTAAACTTAAAACAACTATTTGTGTAATCAATAATTTTTGAAATAAACACTTATTCAAGAACCATAGGATGTATTTATTAAAATAAGCAAAAAAAAGTTGAATATTTTTTTCAAGGAAACAAATTAGACAAGCACATATAAAAAGTAAAAATCTATTCGTTAAATAAGCACAAAGAAATTCATCCAGAAATTATTTTATGAAAACAAAGCAAAAAATTGCTTATTTTTTAAAATAAGAAAATTAAGAAAACAGATAAAAAACTAAAAGTCTGCTTATTTTATTAAAAAAATGTGTAATAATTAATTTTAAATTAATATTAAAATGTTTCGTAACTATTTAATGATGCAAAAATATATATTTATAATAATATTTCCAAGTTATACTCTAATATTCATAATATAGGAATGAGTTAATTATCTCATATCTAGTTATATTAGGTATAAATTACTTAATTTCTGTTACTTAACTCAATTATCCATAAAATAAGTTAATTTTCAATTCTTTGATATAGCATTGTTCCATAATAATCTATGAGATCGAGTCTTATATTTTCATATCATATCACTTTGTATGACATTTAAGATATTGAAACAAATATTAAAAAATGTATTTAAATATCATGAATTTTATAAAAAAGAGTGATGTTAATTTTGAAGTAATTTTTATTTCTCTATTTAATTATTGATGTTATTTTTAATATATAAAGTGTTTATTAAGAGTAATCTTGAAAAAATAAAATTACATTAGTACATTGTAAAACGAAGACTAATATAGAATAATATTTGTTTTCTAAAAATCTGTGGAACAAGAGAATATTTAAAAGAAAAATGTTGTGATTTGTAATCATAGTTTGAAATGTGTGTGTGAAAAAGAACACAAGAAAAAAAAACAGGTTGACTGAGATAAAATAGATTTATAAGCTATTAATTAACCAGTGATTATTACTATATTCGTTGTTTTAAGCAAAGTTTAATGTTTAAATATTATCGAAAGAAAAAACACGACTGAAGAAAATAGTCACTAAATATAATAAATTAGGTTATTAGAAGAAGTTTAATCTTCAACAAACAAAACGTATGAATAAAATTGATTATAAAGAAAAGTTTCCCCCGTTTCATTATTTTTAACTCCTTGTTTTTCCTTTTAAGGATTGCTCTGAATATTTCACTAAACATATAATCAATACAAACTAATCACTAACGTCTCTTGTAAAAAAATTATTAAAATAAAAACAATAAAAAAATGACATTTAAAGCATATTAAAAATAAAATTAGAATCATTTAAAAATCAGAGTAAAAAGCATTAATAACATTTTTCAATAAAAAATATTTTAATTCTTTAATCAATTCACACCTCACTTCACTGATTGAAAATATTTCACACTTATATCAATTACTTATTTTCTTTAAAATTATCAATGAAAAATGGCAACTGTAGGTCAACTAATATAGAATTTTTTTAATTCAATTAATTAATAACTTAAATATGCAGAGGAAAAATGTACACCTTCAATAATCTTACTTCAAATAATATATGTAATGTGTAAAAGAATATTTTTGTATATAGCCTTTGTTCCTTCTCTTATTCTTGTAACTCCCAATTATTTTTCATAACCCTTACTTTGAATATTTCATGAAAAAAATCTGAATTACCAACCAGAGTCTCTGGTAAAAAACTTCCATTAAAAGACTCTTAAAAAGCATATTAAGAATGACATTAAAACATATTAAAAATCTCATTAAAGCACATTAATAGTATTTTCAGCAAGAACTCTTGTAATTCTTAAGCCATTACTGGTATCTTAATGAAAATATTTACATTTATAATCAGAACGGAAGAATATAAGAGAAAGAAAGTTAATGGAGTTACAGAGAAATTAATTTGAACATAGCAGCATAGCACTTAGCACTTGTTTGGTAGCCGTCATTTGATGCATTGTTTTGCTTTGCATTACACCGTCAACCTTCAAAAATTTATACACCAAAAATATGCTGCGTCTCTTTCTCTCTCCCCTCTCTAGCAATTACACCTCTTTTGCTCTCCATTAAATGCAATTGCACCCTCTCAATACGCTCTGCAATTACTCTTCGCTGCCACATTTTCCTCCATCTGTTCCCCACTTCCCTCTCTCTCTCCCTCCCTCCTTCAATGCCCTTGTCCCTATCTCTTCTTCTTCCCTCTTTCTCTGTCTAAAACACCACCACCTTCTCTTGCCATAGCTTCATCTTCTTCTTTTTTTCTTACCATATAAACAACTTAATTCCATAACTATCCCAAACCCCTCCTCTCAAATGGGTCCTCTCTTTTCCACTGGTTTATAGTCCCATGACAGATCTACTAAACCTTCTTCTTCCACCACCCCTCACTGGTAAGTTAAAGAGTTTCGTTAGTAAGACTATTCGGCAGAATATTCATGGTTTGTTACAGTTCCTTAAGGTCACTGGTTTTCAAAAACTAATGATGGTGAGTTTCGTAAATGTGTTTTGAGTTCTAACATTTTTTGAGAAAGTGGCTACAAACTAGGGCTGGGTTAGTGTGAAAAGGGACGTTAGGTTTGTCAGAGAAAAGAAATCATGAAATATATGAAGCGGTGTGGATTCTCCGGGATCTTCGTGGGCGTTAGATTTTTTTTTTTTTTTTTAAGTTTTGATTTTGTTCTGTGAAAAGGCAAGATCAGAAAAGGGAATCAATATTTCTTCGCTTTTTAATTCTTATGTACATTGATGAAATATGGGTATATAGGGTATGTATATTTGTTTTTGAACATTTGATATTATAGTTTTTTTTTTTTCTCTTGGAGGTAACGTTTGTGTATATTTGAGTTTTGTAGTAACACACTGACTCGCTTTGACATTGGCATCTGACAGAATCCGAGGACTCAACGTCTTAAGCTTCATCTTCTCTATCCAAGGACCTCAGAAAACCCAACCAAGCCTTGTGCTAAGAGAGAGAAAGTGATACATATATTAGACAAAGAGTGAGAGGAGAGAGAAAGAGGGAGAGAGAGAGTCAATTCGACGTATAAATGTTGGTGGTCGTGGTTTTTGAGGTGTGTGAAAAATGCAAGCCGGTATTATGATTCCGGCGAGAAACATGCCCTCGATTATAACAGGGAACAACAACTTTAGTGGGTTTGGATCATCTTCATCTTTCACTCTTGCCCAGGTGGGTGTTTTAACTTTTCACCTTCTCTTTCAACTCATTTGACTCACCTTTTTTTTATTCTCCACCTCTTCAATTCCCCAAACTTAGGTTTTAATTAAAATTTTGAAACAAATTTGACCCGTCTCAAAATTTCACCTTTTTACTTTGCATCACAACAACAGAATAAACAAACCTCTTTTTTTTTTTTTTGGGACAACCAACCAGGCCAAATATCCTTCTCGATATTAGAAAGCCGCGTTTTCCCCAAAACTTCGTTATTTTCTCCACACAAGAAAGTCAAAAGAAAAAAAATTTACAAATAGTTGAAAACAAAGAAAGAGAAATCCTGCTACCAAGAAATAAAATGTTGATGTCTGTGTCTTTTTCTCTGTGAGTGTACCCTACTATACTACATGCCTTGGTGTTGTGTTTTGTTAGATTGAGAAACCATAAGCCTCTGGAATCTCGAAGATCTGTAGCAATGTTCCAGCCAAACCTGATGGAAGCGTTGGAGATGGGTCAAAACACTTCAGAGAGTGAGGTCCCTCGAATCCGCGAAGATGAGTTCGACAGTGCCACCAAGTCTGGTAGTGAAAACCATGAAGGTGCCTCTGGTGAGGACCAAGACCCTCGTCCCAACAAAAAGAAGCGTTACCACCGCCATACCCAACACCAGATCCAGGAAATGGAAGCGTAAGTCACCCCATATATATACTCCATCTTCTTGATTTTCTTTGGGTACAATACTACATGTGTCCTTCACAGACACAGGTAAACCTGTGCAAACCGGATAGAACTATGAGCAACAAAACTTATATTTCACTTTGTATTTTTAATAATAATCCTCAGTAAAACATATAGTTCTCATAACAAAAGAATCATAGATTTACAGTATGACACCATTGATATTTTACAGAAATATTATCCGAGTAATATATAACTACTACCATTGGAAAATTTCTCAAGCTATTTCGAGACTTGAAGACCCAAACGTCAAGTATGTTTTAATATTCTTTCCGAAAAATCTAATCAAATTATGTTTGTGCAGATTCTTCAAGGAGTGTCCGCACCCAGATGACAAGCAAAGGAAAGAACTGAGCAGGGAATTAGGGTTAGAGCCATTGCAGGTTAAGTTTTGGTTTCAGAACAAGCGTACCCAGATGAAGGTATATCTGTGTAACTTTGGTGCATATATATTAGGTTTTACTTTTCTTTTTTGTGAGCTGTTCGTAAATAGGGTGGTGTGGCGGTTTTTTGTTATTGCAGACACAACATGAGCGGCATGAGAATACACAGCTTAGAACCGAGAACGAGAAGCTTCGAGCAGATAACATGAGGTATAGGGAGGCTCTTAGCAATGCTTCGTGTCCTAATTGTGGTGGACCAACCGCTATAGGAGAAATGTCATTTGATGAACATCACTTGAGGCTTGAAAATGCAAGGCTAAGAGAAGAGGTACATCGACAAAATAGCCAACATTTTATGCGACTTTATTAGTTGATTACTATAGCTACTCGTTGGACCAATTAAGAAGGACCTTAATAAAGTCTTGAATTTAAGTGTTACAGACAGATCAAACTAAATATTAAAAGGGAATTGTCCTTTTAAATAAAGACACCTGATTCAACTTAACAACGACCTAACGTGTTAATCAAGGACCTAACAGTTGCAAACCCCAGAGGGGTAGCTTATTATTTTACATCATTTTTTCTGACTTTTTTACAGATTGATAGGATTTCTGCAATTGCTGCGAAGTATGTAGGGAAGCCTGTGGTGAATTATTCAAATATTTCCCCTTCTCTCCCTCCTCGTCCTCTAGAACTTGGGGTTGGTGCTGGTTTTGGAGGCCAGCCAGGAATTGGTATGGACATGTATGGAGCTGGGGATCTTCTCAGATCAATTAGTGGACCCACGGAAGCTGATAAACCAATAATAATAGAGCTAGCTGTTGCAGCTATGGAGGAGCTCATTGGAATGGCTCAGATGGGTGATCCTCTTTGGTTAACTACCCTTGATGCCACATCCACTATGCTCAATGAGGATGAATACATCAGGTCCTTCCCTCGAGGAATTGGCCCCAAACCTACTGGCTTCAAATGTGAAGCTTCTCGAGAAACTGCTGTTGTTATCATGAACCATGTCAGCCTCGTTGAGATTCTCATGGATGTGGTGTGTTTCTATTACCTTACTCTAATTTTAGTAATTTTTAGTTTTGTGGACACCTTTAAGATGTCCACCCTGAAAAACGAGGTGGAAATGAGATAAACGAGAAACCGAGTGTATGACGAATTAACAGACAACATATAAGGTGAGAAAAAACAAAGGAGATCCAAACAAAATATGTTATGGAGTGATAATAGAATGTATGAGGGTGTTAAATGATGAGAGTCGTCCTGCATTACTTTCTTGTGCTTCCAAATTAATCTGTTATTTCGAACTCTTATTTCTCTGGACTTTGACATTTGATTTCTTTGTTCTTTTCAGAACCAATGGTCCACAGTTTTCTCTGGTATAGTCTCAAGAGCCATGACCCTGGAAGTACTATCAACAGGGGTGGCCGGGAACTACAATGGTGCCTTACAAGTGGTACATATTTATAAAGAAATTATTTATTTTATTTGTTGAATTAGTTTAACTTACGTGAAGTATATTAACGAAAGAAACAATACAAATGAAACGATTATTTGTTTCTGCAGATGACAGCAGAATTGCAACTACCAACACCTCTTGTGCCAACTCGTGAGAGTTATTTTGTAAGGTATTGTAAACAACATTCAGATGGGACTTGGGCAGTTGTGGATGTGTCTTTGGATAATTTGCGCCCTAGCCCTTCAGCTAGATGTAGAAGAAGGCCTTCTGGTTGCTTAATTCAAGAAATGCCAAATGGATATTCAAAGGTAAGACTAATACACTTGCAGGTTAATTTTGTACATGCTAGATTTTTACTTATATTTATAAAGTTGTTGAACTAGTACGACCAGTTACATTGATCTTTCCTATACCTACTCAGTTGGAGGTTTTGATTTTTAGCTTTAGGCCATCCTTTTATTTCATTTTTCCTCTTAATGTGGCTTAATCTATATCTCTATGAATTAGGTCACATGGGTTGAGCATGTGGAAGTGGACGACAGAGGTGTTCATAATCTTTACAAACAGCTTGTTAGCTCTGGACATGCATTTGGTGCAAAACGTTGGGTTGCAACCTTAGATCGACAATGTGAAAGACTCGCTAGTGCCATGGCAACAAACATTCCCACTGTTGATGTTGGTGGTAATAATAAATTCTCAATAAAAATAATAGAAACATTTTTTTCAATAGACAATATAAACAGTTAAACAGTAAAAATATATCCACATCCTTATATCAGAAATACACCTCATTAACCATTGTTTTAATGATATCATAATGTGAGATGAATTGTTTATTCATCTTTATTGACTTCGTAAAAGAAATTAACTTTGGCTTCTCAATATGTTATTATAGTGATAACAAACCAAGAGGGGAGAAAGAGCATGATGAAGCTGGCTGAAAGAATGGTGATAAGCTTTTGTGCTGGAGTGAGTGCATCCACTGCTCACACATGGACAACACTGTCTGGGACTGGTGCTGATGATGTAAGGGTGATGACCCGAAAGAGTGTGGATGACCCTGGAAGACCCCCTGGCATCGTTCTCAGTGCTGCCACTTCTTTTTGGCTTCCAGTTCCACCTAAACGAGTTTTTGACTTTCTCCGTGACGAGAACTCTAGGAATGAGGTATGTGAACAATTCAAAGAGGCTAATTAAGTTAATTAATAACGTTTTAGGCTGCATTATTGTCTGCTCCTAGACCCGTTATTAATAGATAATTAACCTTCCTTTGGTAATCTTGCTTAGTTGGTAGATTTATAATTATCAATTACTCCTTCTCCCTCTCTCTCAGGTTTTGACTTGCCTAGTTTTTACACCAATTACCTTCTATCAAGTGCATTGGATTACATTTCTTTTTCAACTTACCAAACACAGTATGATAGATGCTTTTCAATAAAGGCATAATAACTTAGATGAAAAATGTTAGGTACATTAACTATAGATATCTACTTTTACACCCACGTACACTGATTTGCGATAAGCTGATGTTTATTATCTAATTGGTCCTCATTTCATTTTCTCTACACCTATTTTCGGATTCTATTGATGTCAAATGACGTTAGGCATTGTTGTATTAGATGAGAAATAAACTTCATTTCTTATCATCGGAATAAAAAGTAACTTAATTTCTTTTTACCCGTGAATTTTAACCTAACAGTTTTGAAGAATATCATCTTCTCTTTGAAAATTTGTAATAATTTTAATGATGGATATATTTAAATCAAGGTATTCTTGAGAAAGCTTGCATTTATTTAAAAAAGATTATAAAATTTTAAATACTTTTGTTTGTCGTTTCTTTTACATTTTTATATTATCTGTTTGACATTTTGACATTTTTAATTGAATCCTAAACAACAGTGGGACATTCTTTCCAATGGAGGAGTTGTGCAAGAAATGGCACACATTGCAAATGGACGAGATACTGGAAACTGCGTGTCTCTACTTCGAGTAAATGTATGTTGATATCTTCTACGCGGATTTTCCACACTTCATTAACTAAATCATAATTAATTTATCCTAAATAAAATTGTAGAGTGCAAATTCAAGCCAGAGCAACATGTTGATACTACAAGAGAGTTGCACCGATTCAACAGGGTCTTTTGTCATTTATGCTCCGGTGGATATTGTTGCAATGAATGTAGTTTTAAATGGAGGAGACCCGGATTATGTGGCACTTCTTCCTTCAGGGTTTGCAATTCTTCCAGATGGAACCGTATCTCATGAAACTGGACCTGGTGGATCTCTTTTAACTGTTGCGTTTCAAATACTGGTTGATTCGGTTCCAACCGCTAAGCTTTCTCTTGGATCTGTTGCCACTGTCAACAATCTCATTGCATGTACTGTTGAGAGAATCAAGGCTTCTTTGTCTGGTGAACCTGTTTGATGAGCTTCTACATTTTCTATTGTGCAGTAAGTTCATGACACTATCATATACATAAACATGCATGCACGTGTGCACCCTTTTCTTCGATTTTTCACAGCTTAGTTTTAGTCACGTTGCAAATGTCACTTTTGAAGGAGGTTTATTTAATGGAAATAACTATTATTCGATTAATTTTTAAATTCAGAAAACTATATAATGTCATTATTTATGCATAGGAAAAAAAAATCTGTTAACAAAACCTGCAATACATAACATATCTCTACATTTCTCTATCATTTAACTTTTTCACACTAGCATCAACTTCTTTGGGCAAGATAAACAAACCTAAATGTTGGTAACGGTGTTGCAGTTCACAGGAAGGACGAAAGTGACGATGCATTGTGCTGTGGAAAATGAAAAGGTGGTGAGGAAGTTCGGCTGAAAGATGGGGAGAAGTCAAGAGCGCACCTTGCATGATCCCTTCTCAGTACCCCCAAAAGAGTTATGAGAGGATTAAGGTTCGGGAATTGACTTCCCTATATAGTTAAGGTTAAGAGCTCATATATTAAGACCTTGCTACCCTTTGCCATTTCTAAGACTAAATATATAGCTAGCTAGCTAGGATTAACCTTTTCAGTAACTAGGGTTTAACTTTAACGTAAAACTCTTGTCTTCTTTTTCAATTCTGATTTTGTGTGATTTAGAAATGTAGTTTCTGAACGAGTTGGTGAGAGGTTGGTTTGCATCTAACACAATCTACTTTCTCACTAAATCTCCTTCTTAAAAAGGTTTTGAAATTAATGCATGGATGTGTTCTTTCTGCGAGTAATTCACACTCACTGACATAATTAACTACTTGTTATTTTGATGATCAAGGAGGTAGTAGCGGGTTTTCTGTGGACTGGTATATTTCAAAAGTAACAAAAAGGTAACAGAGACAGTTTCTTAAAATCAATACTACCTTGCCTTATACAATATATATATATATAGAGAGAGACAGAGAGAGAATTTTTTTAAAAATAACTAAATTATAATTTATTTTAAAATATTAATGCAATCAAATAATTTTAAATAATAACTATATTTAACAATATTACTGATAATTTATGGGGTAATTTTTAATCAATAATTATTGATTTATTGTTATTATTCAATAAATGTATTACTATTTCTTCAAATAAAAAAAATATAGTTATATCGTTCACAAATTTAACAATAAGAATATAGAGTGAATAAAGGAGAAGAACTATAGTATCAAAATTAAGTGGAGGTTGTTAATTTCCCCATCAAACTCACCTGTATATACTGAAGAAAACTACCATATTTTCTCAGAGGACATTTGTTATAATACATGTTTTTTAATGAAAGAGGATAATTATTTCTAAAATATAATGAATCTTTTACATTATAAATTTTGAAAATTAATAAAATATGTTTTCATAACTACATTTTTTTTGGAAAATATTTATTTAAGTTTACCATAAATTAAATAATGTGATATTTTTACAAAGAATTCAATTATTTTATTTTTCAAGCAGGAGTAATATAGTATTTTATCGTAATAAAACTTTTTAAATTGAAAATGTTTGATTTTTATCTCCTCGAGGGACATTTTTGTAGAAAATATAATAAAAAAAATGTAGAAAAGAAAATGGTTTACGAGAATGATAATTTGTATTGTATCCAAATATATGAAACTAACATTTCTATTTTCATGTTTCATATTCTGAAACACTAAAAATGACTCCTTAAAGTTTTCATACACTATTTATATATATATATATATATATATATATATATATATATATATATATATATATAATTTCCATCCTTTATTTAATATTGACATCAATTTATTTAGATTTTAATTATATATTTAAAATCTACATTTAATTGTTATTGTTAATAGAACATATTTAAAATAGTCAATTTTAAAAAGATAATAAATTTAATCTCATTTATCAATGTTGTATTTATATTAAAAAAATAGACATATAGTTTTTCTTATATATATAATATAAATCATTTTTATATATTTTGTAAATATGTAAATAGGTTTATTAAATATACACACGTGTCTTCCTTTATACACAGAGTGGAGACAGAAAATTAATATCAAGAGGACCAATCTACTCCAAGATTGGGAATAGAATTGAATTACCTACCAACTTCTTGATACTATATATTTAGATATAGAATGTCAACAAATTTAAAATACAAAATTTAAATTATTTCATTTTCTGAATGTTTTATTTGATAGAATAATTTTAATTTTACAATTTTAATAGAATACTTTAATTACTCCTAAATAATACAAATATATTATTTAATAATAATATATTTTTCACCAACGTTCGAAATTAATTGTGGCCAAACCTTCAACAAGATTATTTTTAGTTGATAAACAAATTTTTTCTCAATTGACATGAATTGATATTATTATTTTTTATTGATATATATATATATATATATATATATATATATATATATATATATATGTCACAATTATTTTTGGTTGATGGAAAAAATATCCTAGATAAAATTAGGTTAACGTTTTCTCATTTTGAAATTAGAAAAAAAATGCTACCCTATTTTGAACAAAAATATTTGGTGATGTCCAAACAAAAATCCCAACAAATATAAAAAATAACTCTAATAAACCAATTGAAAAATATTCAATAGATGTTGAGAAAATTGTGTGATAGAAAAAAGTAATTTCAACATCATCAATAAAAAAACTAACAATAACTTAATTGAGTGAAAAACCCTTGACTTATATCCTAGGTCAAGAGTAAACGAATAACGTCCTAGTTTATATCTAACTGAAAACACTTTGTTAGAGACCCATATTAGAAGAGAGTATAAAAAAACTAAATAATATATATGAGAAATTGGGTATAATTTAAAATTTTCATAATTTTAGATAAAAAAAATAATGTTAATAAATTTTTATGATTTCAATTTCTTTTAAATTTCACATCCAAACAATATATTTTATCCTAAAACATTTAAAAAAAAAAATATCTCATAAAAATTCCTCTTCCAAACACACTTTCAAATTTCAACCATATTCAGTGTTGCGTTCCCGACACTTTCCCTGTCATGCCTGAAAACAGTAGGGAAATGTTTTTCCCACAATAAATGAATCAAAGCAATACAAAAGTTTTGGGTTCATCACATTCATTGTTTTTCGCAGAAGCACCAAACAACGTTAAGAGACACAAGTGCAACTGATTCAATAGCAAAACTCTATCAGAAAGAGAAAATATTTAAATTTTCACACAGGAGACCAACATGGCTTAGGATATGTTTTTACAAGTGTTCTTTAAGAAGACTTCTAAAAGAAAAAAAAAAAGATTAAATGAAAATTTTCATAAATTTAATTAACTTATGTATAAATAAAATATAAAAGATTTTTTTACGAATTAACTTATGTATAAATTAATTTTAACTTATTAAAAGTCAATTGCAATTTTTTTCCTTATTTTTATCTCTTAAAAATTTTAATGAAAAAGTTGATCTGAAAACATCTAAAGACGTATTCTTCCAATACCCCATGTTTCTTGATAGCATTCATCTATAAATTTATCGAATCAATGTATCAGAAGCCTTTTTTTTTTTTTTCAATCATTCCAAAATCCTCCCGGATTTACTAATTTGAAAGTTTTTAACAACACGTCTAGATTATTAATTTAAATGTTTTCTAGATTCACCATTTTGGAACTTAAAACATATAATTTTTTTCATATATTTTGGATGGTTTAGTCTAGAACTTAAAAAATATATTATTATTTTATATCTACTCTTCCGAAAACTTTTTAAAATGAAATTTCAAAAAATATTTTGGATTAAACTTTTTGAAAGCTTCTCTGTAGTCAGTTTTATGGAATATTTTCAAAAAGTTGAATCTGGAATATTTCAAGAAAGTTTCAAAAAGGTTAATCCAAAATATTTTCAGAAATATTATTCCAGAAAATTTTCAGAAAAATAAAATCCAAAATTTATTTATATTAAGGATAATATATATATATATATATATATATATATATATATATATATATATATATATATATATATATATATATATATATATATATATATATATTGTAGATGAATATCAGCTGTAGGAAGAAAGTATGGGTTGCATATAGAAAGTGTCATCTATAAATCACTTCTCCAATGTTATATTCCAAGGGGCCCAAACAAATGATAATGGGCATCCAAATGAAAAAAAAAAAAAAGTTTTTGTACTATTTTTAGTTAAAATATTATGTTTTAGATTACGTCATAATTTCTTAAAGAATCCATAAACTCATCCATTTTTAAGGGGTTGTACTCTTTCCTGAAGTCCAAGACCATTAAGAATAATGTGAAACCTTTCAAAAAATTTCTCTATGGCCCCTTATCATCTTTCATCTTCAAAAGCTCATTGTTTGATTAACCTTTGCGTTCAACATTCTTTCTATCTTTCTAATGAGGATAATATAATCCTCTCCAACAGAGTGAAGTTTTGTCAAGGAATCTGATTATGGATATAAAAATCAAAATGTTTTCATAGTTCTGCATATTATTTTGATCCATTCATGTTCCACCTATTATTCAAGCTCCGAGAAGATTTACATGGTGTGATAACTTCACATCTTATCAACTGGGTTATCCAGGTAAATTACACATGCAGAACATATCTTAATTGGTGTTTTGCAAAGAGCAAAGCAGATTTCTTTACTAGACTACAACCAAAATTATTTTCAGTAGAAAAGATGCAACATGCTACCTTCGATTAATTCACTCGTTGTGTTTCCATATTATCGAGTAAATGGGTTCTCTGTGTTTGTTGAATATGGTTAACAAATCATCAGTATATTATTGATATTTGTCTATGATGGAACGCCATAAATTTTGGTTCCTTAGTATTTCAAGTTTCATTTAACCGAATTCATTAAGTTCATAAAGTTTCTATTAATTTTAACTTACAATCCTAATATTTTCTTCAAGATGATTTGATTTGTCCGTGCTTTAACTTCATTTGTATTACAAGATTATGAATATTGTTCTGCATAAAAAAATTCTAAGAATAATAATATTCAGGGGTGTTACTAAACAGTCATTTAAATTGACATCAAGTAGAAACTGGTCTTCAACTAGCGGTGATTATTTTGTATATACTGCTTAAGACACTGTACGAAGGACCTAAATTACAGTGCTTAATACACTGATAATTTTGCTGGGTTTTCTAACAGAAATCATATACAAACTTCGTGTTCATAACTTGAAAAATATGCATAGTCAGAAACTGTTGATTCAATGATTAGTGTAACAATAATGATTAGCTATAAAAAAGTATATATGGTATGAATCGTATCTTAATTGGAATATGAAGTTTACAACCGATTGGATAAGGAGTTCTATATGTTTTCAGGATTTAGGTGCAACTGATGTCACACAAGCAATTCATGTAACCAATATGAAGGATCAATTTCTCTGTTTACATACATTTCTTTTTCTAATTTTTGTCCCTCTATCTCATTTATTACTGCTGAATTTGTTGCCACCAACACCAACTACATGTAAGAGCTAAAAACAACTAATCCAGGTAGCTAGAATTTTATTTCTTTTCATAGCAAATATGCAACATGATGGAATTCTATGTTCACCCGACACAAAAACCATTTTCTCAGATATGAAGCCAAAGGGGACTCAGAATTAAATAAAAAACATAGAAAAATTTGGTTTCATGAGGGGGCATGGCATGCTTCTTCATCCCCTCGTACCTACTGTGGTGCTCTTCTTTCCATTTTCTCATGTTTGATTCATTCCAGAAAATTTCAAGCTCGCTTTTTCCTCGCCAATGCAGGTCTTCTGCCAAGAACTGAAGTTGATTTGGATGAACATGTGAGCAAGCCTCGCAGCAAAGCCAGAACACCCAAACCCATGAAAGAGACATACATTGTCAAAAGCTTATCCGATGCCCTGTTGGAATTCATCATTTCTGATAATATAGCAACCTGCAACAAACACACAACCAAAGTCTCGTTGTTACTTACCTCATCTATGACTGGGACTAAGACTATTATTACACCTCCAACTTCAGTGAAACAAATGTCTTAGTAAAAAGTCACATGATAAATTCGCAACTTAGATATAGTTTCTTATGTTGTTTCTATCGTTTCTCAATCAGAATTAGAGTTTACAAAAGGGACTCACATTTGCATAATAGGACTCGCTTGTTTGAGACTCTATTTAGGAAGATTTTTTATCCAAGAATCTAAAAAATCTGGATCCTCACTTACTCCATATCGTAATCAACCAAGCTGGACACCTAACGAATTATTGATTTTGATATTGAGTATTTTTGAGGAAGACTAGATTTTCACATATGGGACCACAAGCCAATCAAGAATATACCATCAATCTAAAACCTTAAGATATTAAGATAGTGGATTTCTCTGACTTACATATTATTCAACTTTCCCTTTTTACTCAAGATTTCAACTCATTCCTATATTCCAACAAAGAACTCCAATTTTAATTCGAGAACAACTCAGACAATACTAAAATTGTATCTCAGTTTTCTCCAAATTCCAACCATATAGTAATTTTGTAGTGTAATTAACACCTAAGGAGGTATCCGATTATCATAAAAGCCACCCAATACATCTTGACCATAGTTTCTTATTAAAATTTAAATATAATCTATAAAATTGCATAACCTAATTTTTACTTTCATTACATTAAGGCAGCAAGCTATATATAATCAATTCAACAATGATCTTAAGCTACTAAATCGACAACTTTTTGTACTAGCACAAAGTGATATAATATCCAAGAAAATCTTCAAATGAAAATGCATGGCCCTAGAGTGACGAAGGATGAGGACGAAACTGACAACAAACAAATCCTTGTAAACAAATAAATGCATTGGTTTTAATTGAATGGTTGCTAGTAACTCCAAAAAGTTAGTTTTTCTAGATCCAAACATCAGAAAAGGAATAATATCCATTATCTCTCTTTCTCCCCAAAGCCTAATCATGTTAACAGAGGATCCATAGAAGTATGCAATCCCATCAATTAGATAAAAAAAAATGATAAAAGGGGGCCATTGAAAAGGAAGAAACTTTTTCCCTGGTAGAAAAACATGTATTATAGGAAATCCGGCTGGTATGATTATAAAAGATGGGAGAAACTTTGAAGAAGTAAAATGTGAATTGAAAAGTGATAAAAAGAAAGATAGATAGATATACCATGGAGGTAGAGGTAGAAACGCCATAGATCAAACACGTGGTGCTGAACCAAGGCTTGGAAGTGAGAATGGCATAGAGGTTGAGGAGTGCAACAGGCCATTGGAATAGAAGCTCAAGCCAAACAAGCCCTACAAAAAAGTGTGGCTTTTCAGCCACAAGGTAATCACCATAGTCGTGGGTGTAGTTTTCCTTGAGTTGGACAAGAATGTCTGGGAAGTAACTGAGAGGAAGACAAGTTTGAGCATCAATGAGAGGAGCCACCACTGCTATCAAGAGGAAGAACAGAAGCAGTATGGCGTCAATTAGGTTCAACACAACGCCCATTTGTTGATTTGCGGATTTGAAGCCTCTCCGAGCACAGGATGAAGATTGGAGGATGAAAAAGAAATGGGTTTGTAGGAAAAGAGGGATCTTGGAGCCTGCAAATTCCCCAAGACTTGGACTTTCAATCCTTGTGTAGCATCCTATTCAATGATCCTCCTATTTTATTAAAAATACATAAGCCTGATTTTTTAACTTATTTGTTAAGGAGTAAAAGAAGTGAAAATTTTAAATTAAAGATTTATTTTTATATAATTTAATAATTAAAATAAATTATTATTTTAAATCCTTAACTTCAATAACAATATATATAGTATTAACATAAATGATTTTTTATGTTACTTATATTTTTATATTATTGATTTATTTTAAAATATTTTTAAAAATTTATTTTATATTTTCACTCATTTTTTTATTTTCTAAGTATATAAATTATAATAATTATTTTTATATATTAAATCTCTTATTTTATAAATCATAATATATTATATATGATTTTTTATGATAAAAAATTATAAAAAATCATATATATATATATATATATATATATATTATTCTATAAAGAATTTATTAAATTTCTCGTGATCTTTCACGCAGTTCATTGTCAATAATTTATGACAATTAAAATTGTCTAGGGTTTATAAATAATTATAAGATCTAAATATATGTTTAATTTTCTTAATACATTCATTTCATATTTTTATTTTCTATAAACAAAAAGATTAGGGTTTTGATTTTAAAATAATTTTGTTTTATGATTTTACACTTTGCCATTATTCAGTAATAAAGTGACAACTTGATATATATATATATATATATATATATATATATATATATATATATATAATTTTATAAAGAATAAAAGATACATTAAAAACTAACATTTGTAAACTACAATTTTATGACAACCAAAATCTTCAAAAATAAGTATAAGAAACAAACATATTTTAAGATACTTTAAGATTAAAGACAATTTAAAATTATCACAACTTCATACTATTTCATCCAAACACCTATCACTAGTAATAAAAAATATTTTTAATATTTCCACAGTTTTTCTTAAATATTCCATCATCATTATTACTTTATATAAATAATCAACTTTTTATTGAGAAGCACAAATTTTAAAAGCTCTAAACCCTATATATATTATATTTTAATGAAAAAAAATGTAATGAGAAAAATACTAAAAGAAAAAAATTATTTATTTAAGATAAACAAAATTGAAAAATTGAAAAAAAAAACTATTTTACCTTTTATAATATATACTTTTTACATTATTTTTAACTTACTAATTTCCTAATTTAATTATTTAATTATTTAATTATATTTATAATTTGGTGAAGGAATAAAACTAGTTATAATATAGTTCAAACTTCACACAATCAACTTTTATAAAATATGTGTTGGTGTGAGGGGATATCTATTAAAAAAAAAGACAATTTTATTTTTATTCTATTAGTATTTTTTATTAGTATGATATTCATGTTTTATGAATTTGCTTACATTTAATTTTGTATAAAGTGGAAGATATTTTGGAAGGTTGGCATGAATTTTAAATTTTCCATCTTCATTTTTTTGTCTATACTAAACAAGCAAAATCTGTACAATTTTTGTTGATTTTTCTTCTTTTTCATTAGTTTCTTTAGCATTACTTACGTAGGATAAGAAGAATGATAAAGTTGTTTCTGAAGTTGCTATTTCAGTAGTTTACGGGTGTAGCGGGTTACAATAGTAAAATATCGATGAAAGAATCAATTGTACACAAATAAATAATAAATAATATAGAAGACTAACATAATTGATTCGAGAGAAAATTAGGTTGAGATTTTTAATTCATTGATTTATTTATATAATCGATTAATTCTTTTTAAATAATTATGTTTTAAAAAATTATTTTAATCTATTTCTACTTTGTCTCTCTTATCTTTATATGTATCATATAGTTATTTTTTTTATAAATGATGAAAAAAAAAACTAAAAAACAAAATCTCCTGCATACAATGAATCAACTCGTTGTCTGCAACATACTATGTTTCTAAAAGGATCTCTTCATTACTTGTGTGCATTGGAATTAAATCTGATTAATAATAGGTTATGTAACGAAAAATGAAGACACGGAGAAGAGAAAATACCGTATAATGTTTAATGTTTGTAAGAACTTGTAAAATATTAATGTTACATGAATGGTTTGTTTACCGTTTTATAAATAGTTTTTAAGTTTAAAAAATAAAAACATGATAAGTATTTTTAAAATTTTTTTTTGTTTTTTATTTTTTAAGAACTAATAAAGCAAAAGTTGATAAATATGATTTTTCATTTTTATTTTTATGGATAACATTTATATTTTTATTAATAATTTATATTTGTTTTTATTGTCATAAAATTGTCTCAATATTTATTGATATGAAATTCTCCGAAGTTATGTTTATAATCGATTTAATGTTTTATCTTATAAAGATTTTATTATATAGATTGTTTTTATAACTAATGTAATAAGTGTGCTATATTTATTTAAGATTATTTTATTTATTTTGTTTTCATCACCTATAGTTATAATTTCAAGATAATTTCACAATCACCCTATATAACATATTTTTATATTTAGAATTTATATATTAAATATTATTTTTTATTATAAAAAATATGTATTCTAATTGTTATATATATATATATATATATATATATATATTTCTTTCTATGTTTTAAACTATAACAAAATAAATTAAAATAATATTAAAAATAAATTTAAATTTCTAATATAAGAAAAACATGGTGATAGTGCAAGCCAAAGGAAGTGGTAATGCAACAAGATAATAATGTAAAAAAAATGAGGTAAAATTATCTTATTTTAATAACTTTATACTTTTTTTTTACATTAATTTAAAAAGTAGATACTACATTGTATTAATAGAAAATAAAATTATATTTTTTTATCTCAATTAATGTAAAATTAATTATTTATATTAATGTAAAAGATAGATATTATATGAGATCTTTTATATTGGATTAGGAAAGACAAACAAAATGCAGGTAAAGACAATACACTATATAAGATAAAGAAATTAGAATATTTCTGATTATCAAATTTATAATGCTTATAAGTATATATGAAACACAACAATTCTCGTATAATTATAATCGAGTAGCAGATCTTGACCATTAATTTTGGGGGATCGAATAATATATTATTAATAAATAATAAATAAATATAAAAGAAAGAAAGAAGATGAAATGGTGAAAGGATAAAATTGTATATATATATATATATATATATATATATATATATATATATATATATATATATATATATATTAAATGATCATTAAGTATGAGGGACCAAATCATAAATTATATGAGAGTTACAAAACTGAGGAGAGACTGAGAGGATAAAATTGTAAATATACAAGTAAATATATTAAATTTTTATTAAATTCGAGGAGCCAAAATCATAAATTACATGCGAGTTACAAAACTTTGGAGGGGCCACGACCCCCCTTAGCTCCCAAGAAGATCTGCCACTTATTGTAATGTGATAATTAATACATTTACAAACACAAACATCTATTTTGGATTTACACAACACACCCCCTAAATCCAAAATATCTAGTAATTTCAACCCTAATGAGTTTCTCAACTTCTCAAATCTACCTTGTTTGAGAGATTTGGTGAAGATATAAACTACTTGATCCTCTATGTAGTAGTGCACAAGTTCCAACTTACCTTTAATAACTTGATCTTTTAGAAAGTGATATTTTGTCTCTGTGTGCTTACTCATTTCATGATAAACAAGATTCTTAGATAGGCTAATAACATACTTATTATCCACAAACAATTGGACTATTTTTTTGTATTCCACTTTTCGCTCTTCCAACAATGTTTCCAGTGACACACACTGACATGCTACTTCTGCAAATGCAATATACTCATAGCTTCACAAGAGGAAAGTGCTACAACACTTTGTTTCTTTGAACACCAAGAAACTGGTGCATTCACATACTTGAATACGTAGAATGCACTCCTTCTTTTAACCTTATCTCCACACCAATATGAGTCAGACTAGGCTTTTAGAACAATTTCAATTTGATCAGTCTGTCTAGGGTAAAATAAACCAAGTTTTGTTATACCTTTCAAATATCTAAGTATATGCTTAGCTGATGCCATATATGGTACTCTAGGATCATTTATGAACCTACTAATCAAGCCAACTCTATAGCTAATATCAGGTATGTTGTTACAAACATACATGAGAGATCCTACAATTTGCTTATATAATGTTGCATCCATTGTTCTTTCATGAAGCTCTCTAGTCAACTTTCGATTTGTAATGACTGGTATGAGGCTTGTATTGAAATTCTCCATATTAAACTTTTTCAAAATTTTGTACCTTTTCTGATGGAGAAAGATTCCTTGGGAAGTGTGTTTAAATTCCAGACCTAGGAAATAATTGAGAATTCCTAGATCAGTCATCTCAATTGTTAAGTTCATCTTCTCTTTGAATTGATCAATTTCAGCATGTGCATTTCCTCTGATTAATGGTTTCTCTTACATAAACTCCAAACTCAACTGTACACTTTACAAATCCTTGTTTAACCAGGAAAGCATCAGTAAGCTTGTTTCCGGCCCGAGGTGTTTGCCTAAGGCCATACAAAACCTTTCTTAATTTATATACTTTCTGTTTTGCACCTTTGATTTCAAAACCTGGTAGCTGCCTTACATACACTTTTTCTTCCAAGGGACCATTTAAGAGTGTTGATTTAACATCCCGTTGACATATTTTCCAATTTCTCCAACTCGCCATAACAACTACTAGCCGCACAGTCTCCATCCTTGCAACAGGAGCAAACACATTTGTAAAGGCTACACCATGTTTTGTTAAGAAGCCTTTGGCAACCAATTTGGCCTTATGTTTGGCTATTGCTCGATCTGGTTTAAATTTGATTTTAAACACCTACTTCACATCAACGAAGTGTTTATGCTGTGGAAATCAACTAACTCCCAAGTTCTATTCTTCTTAATAACTTCTAGTTCTTCTACCATAGCATCCTTCCATTCTTTAGTGTTTATGACTTGTCTCCATGTGAATGGTTCTGTGTCAACAAGAAAGGAAAGTTGCACTAACTCACCACTTCCAACAATATCACTGTCATTGAACAACTCATGGCCAGAAAGCTTGGAGGATGGAAACCTCACTCCCTGTGTTGTATTGTCTCTCGAAATTGCAGGTTTATGTTCAAGCATACATTGAATGGAAGACTTCATACCATTCTTCACATTAGCCTCCCAATTCCAGGAGGCTACCTCATTTATTATCTCATCCCTACTAACAATCACCTGCTTCTTTATCGGATCATACAACTTGTATGTGCTTATTGGATGGTATCCTATTAGGATAAATGCTTCATTCTTATCATCCAACTTCTTCTTCTTCTTCTTCTCATCTAGAACATGTCTATAGAACAATGATCCAAATTTTTTGAAATGATGGACCATAGGTTTATCATGTGATCAAGCTTCTTCAGGAGTACAATCTTGAAGCCATTTTGTAGGACATCATTTCAACACATATGTTGCAGTAGATACACTTTCACCCCAAAAATAGTGAGGCAAGCCTTTTTCTCTAAGCATGCACCTGGTCATGTTCAACATGGTTCTATCCCTCCTCTCATCTAAGCCATTGTGCTAAGGTGTGTAGGGAGTTATTACTTTGTGCTCTATGCCTTTAACAACACAAAATTCACAAAATTTTCTTGAATTATATTCACCTTGAGCATCAGTCCTGAGTATCTTCACCTTCCATTCATTTTGTCTCTCCACTAAGATGTAGAATCTCTCAAAACAAAAGAATGCTTCTTTCTTTTCTTTCGACAAGTACAACCAAATCTTCCTAGTTAATTCATCCTCAAAAGTCAAAAAGAACTTGTTACCTCTGAGAGATGAAACATTGAAAGGGCCACACACGTCTGAATATACTACACCAAGGGTTTTTTAGCTCTTTGAGGTGCAATTTTCTTAAATCTTTTCCTGAACCGTTTTCCAATCAGACATCCTTCACAAATCTTCTTAAGAGGATGTATCAAGGGTATGCCCATACCTATAATGTCACAACCAACCTTCTTCTTCAATATGACTAGCTGATAAACATCGAATTGTCGTTGCATTCAAGTTTATCTTGAATGTTCTGTTCTTGAACAGTGGAGCCTTGAATAACAGTTGTTGCTTATCATAAAAAACTTCAATATGATTATTCTGCATTGACATGATGTAACCTTTCTCCAATAATTGCCCCAAACTAAGCAAATTTGTTTTCATAGTAGGGACATACAACACATCATTCAAGTATGCATTTTTCCCATCTTTTCATGTAATTAGTGCCTTACCCACTCCTTCTGCCGCAACAGTATTGTTGTCAACAAATCTTAAATTACTCTTTACACTAGAATCAAGATCCATCAACCATTCTCTATTTCCCAATCATATGATTAAAACAATCTGTATCAAGATACCACGAACAATCATTTTCTCCACTGTTTATGGTAGTCACCATCAATAATACTTTATCTGAATCAAAATTTTCCTCCCCATGCAAAAGATTTGCTTCATCATTTTTTTTCCCTTTCTTGCTTATAGAATCATTCTGCCAACATTCAAAAGAAAAATGTTCAAATTTATCACAATTATAACATAACACCTTCTTTTTATCAAAATTCTTTTTACCTTTCCCTCTGAATTGATTTCCACATTTGAAACCTGAGTTGTCCTTTTGTTAAGAAGAAAAAGTATTTTCATTTGATAATGAAACATTATTGTTTTTGCCACCACTTCTACCTCCTCTTGTAAATCTTTTTCCACCACGTCCCTTGTTCTTGTGATAATTGGTTTTGGCTTGTAAAGCTTGTTCATTGACTTTCTCACAATTCTTCCTCTCAATTTTCCGTTGTTCATGTGCCTCTAAGGAATTCTATAATTCCTCAACAACATAACCGTAAGATTTTTGGATTCCTCAATAACAACTACAATGTGGTCAAACTGAGGGGTCAAAGTTCACAGTACCTTCTCTACAATCTTACAATCTTCCACACTCTCATCACAGGCTCACATAGAGTTGATCGAAACCTATAATCTACCAAAATACTTTGTTATTGTTTCTTGTTCTGTCATAGAAAGAAGTTCATATTGCCTTCTCAATGATTGCAGCTTCACCTTCTTGACCTTTCCAAAATTTATATATTCATTCTTAAAAATATCCCACGCTTCTTTTGTTGTGGCATCCTTTGATATTTTCTAGAAAATGTTGGTAGCAACATACTGGTGTAACAACATTTTTGCTTTACAATCCAACTTCTTATCTTCCTTAAACATTGCATTTACCTCATCTGTGACATTCTTGAGAGGTTCTTGAAACCCATTCTTCACAACCTCATCAACTTGAAAACCAAGAATCATCTCCATCTTAGCACACTAGTCATCATAACACAAGTAGATAACCTGGTATCAAACCTCGAGCAGTCATAGAAGCACACACGCAACAAACTTCATACCTTGATGGTCTCTTTCACGCACCACACACCTTCATGTCCTTTTGTTAGAATTATGCTTTAGATATCATTATCTTGGGTTAGGAAAGACAAACAGAATATAGGTAAAATCAATACACTATATAAGATAGAGAAATTTGAAGATTTCTCATTATTGAATTTACAATGTTTACAAGTATATATGAAACAAAATAAGTTTACATAACTAGAATGTGAAGGTATTAACACAAACATCTATTTATAATGGATACAATATCACTATTTTATATTAGATTAAATAAGTATTGAAATAAAAAAGTATCTCTACCATTTATAAAGTTATCACTTTTTCTAATTCGGGTAATATAAACGATGTTATATCAACTTTTTACCTAGCCTCATTAGGATCATGTCAAGTTGCCCATTTTATATATCCCTTATTTGAACATTGTCTTGTTTATCTTCATGAAAGTTTTCCAATTGCAATTCCTTAGTTTGTTCTATATTGCTTATAGCTACTTAAGGGAGGAACGAAGTTCAAACACAATCATATACTTGTTTATAGTTTTATCAATAGAGAGAGGTGAAACTAAATTTGTAGCACTTTCCACAAATACTCTCAGAACAATATTAAGATAACGAGATAAGAGATAATTTCAATTTTCAATTCCTCCTTTATTTTTTTTTTCTAAAAGAAGAAATTCGACATTAATTTTAAGTTGATTTTATAAATCCATGTGAATTATAATTGTCTTTATTATTTACTTCATTTAAAAACATAGGACTCTATAAGTCTATATACACTACTAGACATTCTTATGTTTGATGAGAATATTTTTATAATTTTTTTATAAAAATTACAAGAAATTATAAATTTAAAAATAAAAAAAAATTCACACAGTAATTAACTTTTTAGCAGTGATAACACCATGGTCAGTTCTCTTCAAAATCAATTCATCACTGTTTGATATCTGAAATCCCAGCTTTCATGTTAGGACTACGTTGGATTGGTGAAGTAGATTTACAAGACTGATGTGAAATTCTATCAAATCGAAATCCCTCTTGGGTGACAGAAACAAATGTACCATATTACATGATTTTATTTATTAAGAAGAAGCTTTGGATTACCAGAACTTCTAAACTAGGTGAGAAATAAAAAAGAAAAAGAAGTTAGTACATCCATGTCTCATTCTATGTGCTTTTGACAGTAACTCACATGACACTTAATATAACACAAGAGCACCATTGACTAATTTTGTACTCAATAATGCATTAGTTCTCTTCTCTAGTTATGCTACTATACCTTAAAGTTCTCTCGTTTGTTTCCATTTCTTTAATTCTCACTCGCCCTTTTATTCTTCTTCTGGTAAAACCTTATTATCGGTGATGGTGATTGAAGAGTCTTGTTTGCTTCCATGGGAATTGACATGTGTATAAACCTAACAACTCGATTGCCCCAAGAGTAAGATAAACTCATGACACCCCCAGTTGGCACCGGTTGACTTTGAAGTTTGCTCACTTAACTTCAAAACTCTTATGGAATGTACAGTTTAGAAGTCAATGATGGGCTCTCCAACGTTCAAATTTCTTTCCACTGTCCACGGTAGGTCGAAGAGTTTAGCAGTGATGAACTTGAAGATCTTATTCACGTTGATGTTGTAGGTTGCACTAGAAAAGAACAAGGTGGCATTGAGGGCCTTTGCATATCTTCTTGCCTGTTCAATGTCACAATATCACACATCAAATCTTATCTCCAAAACAGGAGAATTTTCTGCTATTTTGGAAAGGCTTAACATTGCATTCCAACATGACTTGCTTAACATGCCTGTAAATAAATAGGCATGGAAGTATGGTTGGCCTTGTCTCCCCTATTAATCATCAAACATGCAATGTCTTATAATGTAAGATGGGGTCCATTTTTACCAAAATCAAAACCAAAAAGATAATATATTTGTATGAGGGTACATGATAGCTTGACCATGCTTTATGCAGGTGACTCTATTTGGTTTTGTATGATTAACATGTGAATTGTTTCAATTCAAAATCAATTATGAATTTAAAATCCATTTCTAAAGATAACTTCAAGCAATATGAATATTTACATGAAACCACATTACGATTCATAACTAAACATGCACTGAGTCCTGTATGAAACACTTCTTCGGATCTGGAGGTTCTGTTTTACCAGATCTAAATACTAACCTCATTGGCAATGGTCCATTGCATATCAATAGGGAGTTGAATGAAATCATCGAACTTGGTTCCTATCAACACTGGAATTGCCGTCTACAAAAATCAAGGACAAAGCACCATAAAATCCCCACTCCTCTGTATCAACATGCATAGAATTTTATGCTTCCAAAAAATATTATATGTACCTGGTTCCATTTCCTGGCTTCTCTGTACCATCCAACAACGCTGAAATCATACACCCCAAGAAAATGGTGCTTCACAACTTGAAAAGGCTCTAGCCAAAATTGATTCAAAACAACATAACAAAGAAGATACCTGTTTAATGTGCATCGGCTTGTTAGATCAAACATAATCAAAATTGCCACAGAATCCGTACAAGCCGTTGGAATTTGGTCTTCTATTTTTCCATCACCTACACGGAAAACAATCAAACATTCAAATATAAAATAATTAATCTTTGTTGATCTTTGTTTTTTGGCCATATCCATAGCCATAAGTGATCCCAAATTCAACAAAACCATCATGTGTTTTTCTCTCTATATACACCTTGTACTTCCCAGATACGGTACGAGATACGAGCCCCTTTAACAACCAATGTTTTGTCCATCTGATTTAAACCTTCCACCTGGTTCCCCTGCTTCTCCTTTTTATCCCCAACATATTTCACCTGAAAACCAAATTCAAACAAAAAAAAAGTACTAAAAGTTGAATAAAAACATTTTTTTTTACTCAACCCATTTCAGATTAAACCCAATAGAATAAAAATATCCATGTTGGTTCTATTATAAATGTTAAAAAAAATGATGAACACCAACCAAAAAGCTGGTTTTTCCAATTTGGCAATCACCCAACAAGCTGATCTTCAAGGAGACCAAATCAGAATCCAATTCATGGGTTTGAAACAGAGCCGGTGTTGCGACATCCATCTCTTCACGACCAAGCTCGGGGGAGGGTCCCAAAGGCGGCGACGGAGAGGGTAATGCTGGCGGCAGCATGCTGTAGTTGTTGTTGGTTTTCCTCCCGGAGCAGAGGAGGAAGCGGTGGAGGACGCGGAGGATGCACCTTCGGAGTAGGGAAACGCGATGGTGAAAGCGTCGCCTTACGGTGGAGGAGTTGTTGAGTCTCCGGGCACTCTGGGACATGTTTTATTTTTGCTCTCCTAGTTTTTTTGTGTTTATTGTCTTCGGAGGAAATAAGAAAAATTGGAAGAAGTGTTTTGTGTTGTGTTTGAAACGAAATGTTGTTGATGACAGGATGGCCTCAAGTGCAACGCCTGAGACTCTCAGCCATGAAAATGAAAAGTGAGGTGGTGTGTTGTCTCATATTTCTGAATGCTGAGGGTATTTTCGGGATTTCGCACTCACCTCTCCCTATGCTCTTGATCTTGTGAAGGTTTTTTCAGTTACATCTTTCAACGAATTTTGTGCCCTCAGCAGCACTACTTTAACGCCACGGTTGACCGTTAAAATATGAACACTATGCTTTCATTCCACAATTTTAAATGTGGCTACACTTTCTCTTTTTTTAAGATATTACCAAATACTGCATGAGATAAATGTAGATCTGCTTCTTCTGTGAAAACGAAGGAAATTCAGTAACTTTAGTTATATAAATGAGAAAATATTATATTTAAATTCATCATTATTTGTTATTTATGCATGCATAATATACATTGCTAATATAGAAAAATAGTGTGTGAATCAATCAGAAATCAAGCAAAAATTAATCAATTTTTGTGTGAAATTCTTAAAATGATTATTAAAAAATTAACAAACTTATTGTTAGTACATACATTTGGTTATTCATGAAACAACTAAAGAAATAAAATATAATAAATGGTTTTAAGTTTTGTTGCGGATTTCTTTTTTTTTTCAGTGTATAATAATAACATGTTAAAGTTAAAACCTACGATTTCATATTTATTCTATTCAAATCCTTCACCGTTAAATCGATTTTAATAAATGGAAGAATCTTTTTGCCTTACCCTTGTTTAAATTCAACAGATAAATAGTGATGTTATCGAGTTATAAGGATGTTGAGTAGTGAATAGTGAGGGTAATATCAGAAATTTCTGCCTTTTGTGTATATTTCACGTTTGGTGAGTAAAAAGAGTCTTTTGAGAAAGAAGACAACATAATCGACCACGTGTTGCTATGGAAAACATGTGTGCAATGGTCCCATTTGGTGAATCATTTTGGGATGTGTACCTCACCAGCGACAAACCCATGTAGTGAAATCACCAAATTATTCAATCCGGTTTTGCAGTTTTGATAGCCAGAGATTCAGGAATACGAGAATTATGCTGACAGCCAATCAAAATCTTGAATGGGAATGATGAAGGGCCCTTAAGAATACTGGTAGTGGCTGCATAAGATCATATAAAGCTTGAATTTAACTGCTACTTTCTTGTAAAATGAATGCATGTTGAAGGATGAAAATTGCGGTGGGGCTATTCTTTATCTTCACAAGTTTTTTCTAAACAAAGGTACAAACTAAAGCACGAATTTTGTTCTTTTTTAAATAATGTTTTAGTGACATTCTTGCTGTCACAATTTCCTAGCTAGGAAGGAATTATTTACATTCACTGGTGTAGACTAATTTGAGCCAATATATCACTAAAAGGTAGCCAGCCAAAAGGATAAAAACAAAAAGATAAAGCAACCAAAATGAGAGAGGGTTGGTTAACTACATGGATGATGAAACAGAACGATCCTCCAAGCTTTGGCTGTGTCTCCTTTTTTTGTTTTCCCTAAGTATCTCTTTGATCTCTGCTTCCCTTTTATCTACAAACACCATCAACTTCTTAAGGCTGGGAGTTCTGCTTGGACGTCTAGACCTCCTAACTGGTTGAATTTCCTCAGCAGTGTTCTCAGACTCTGGGCTGAACTTGTTATACTGACAGAAGATTCTAGCAAAGAAAATAATCAGGGCAATGACACATGCAATGCCACATATAAGAAAGAGGCCCCAGAAGCTTGTCAGAGCTAGTTTGTTTGAATCAACAGCAACGCTAGTACAGTCCTTTTTATTAAGCCATTCGTCATGAATCCTTTGCAGGTCCCCACTCTCAGAGAGTTGAAGAATGGCAGTTGACAAGTCAACAGCAAGGGGAGAGTCCCTCTGGAATGCCTGTTGTCAGGGAAACAACTAGTCAACCACGTTTGGAAAATCTTCACAAGATAGATATTACATCAAAGATAGACACAAGAAGCACACTCACAGTAAGAGAAGCTTCATGTGTAAACTTAGATCTAGTTTTGATTATTTATGTATTTTTCACAGAAAGTGTCCTCATAACATCTCTCAGCTGTTTCTGTTGTTCAGAACACTTGTTTTGGAAGCAATTTTCAAAACTTAAAATAGATTTTGGATGAGAAATTCATTACTGAATAATGTAATTTGTTTTAGAAAATTGTTATTAAAATTAAAACGAGCGAAGAAAATCAAACAAGTTTCGCTTCATATTTACTTGTACTCTAGATTTAAGTCCTTTCAAGCAAGATGAAACAATTTTTAATATTGAACAGCCAGGGAGCCGTCATAACATAAAAGCAAAATTATATTCTTAAAAATAATCTGAATAGTCATCAATCCAAACAAAATAATGCACATCAGATTTAAATAATGGATGAACATATGGGGAATCCTTAACCACAGACATGCAAATAGAGATACTCACAAATCCCCAGCCACTTTTAGTGAACTCCCGGCCAACAGTTCTGAACTTACAGTGACTGCTGGACATCAAGAGCTCAATATAAGGAAGCTCATCAACAACTGCCACAACCCCTCCAGCTTTAGGGCCTCTCTGAAGGGCATCAATATAATCCTCCATGGTTTTCAAAGTAACTATTCTAGATTCTGCTATATTGAGGTCATCTACAAGATATTTCCGTGCAAATGAACCATCTTGAATTCCAATCGGTTCAGTACTTGAGATCAAGCTGTCAATTCCTTCAATTTGAGATGACAGTTGCTGCACAGTGAGGATAGAGGTCAAGCTAGCTGTGTAGCTAGAATTTATGATCAACACCACAAAGAGCCATATGATTAGCACCAATCGCCCAAGTCCACTCACGGTGTTCTCCCCTGTGTCAGGTGTAAGTCAAAGAATTCATCATGCACAATACAATAGAAGGACTGTTATAGGTAAAATCTGAAGAGGGTGTGAAGGGGAATCTTGGGTACGTACTATGAGAGAAAAACATTGTTGAGAAACTAAACCTGCAAAAAAGGAATTCATCTTTATGAAAATATTGACTGGATGTTCAAGTAAGCCTACACACCTATTTGGAGCTGAGGCAGGCTACTCAGATAAGATAAAGGCTTATTTATGAAGGTTTAGGAGATACAAAATAATAGATTAGAACAATGAAAGAAATGCAATTACCTCTATTATGACTAATACACTACAATCCCCTATTGTATATGATAGAACAAGGGAAGCAATGTCACACCCTTGCTAAACAGTTTCTTCACAAAGGGGCTTTTATGATCTACGAAAAGATTCAGAAAAAGGCTTTCAAATGGGCAAAACAATACTAACCAGAACACTGTTATGAGTTGTTTCCTCGGTGAACCCCGGAATTCAGGATTGAGCCGGTGCTCAAGAATCCACACAACAGTTCCGACAAAAAGAAAGAAAGCACCAGTGACACACCACATTTGAGTAGTGAATGGCTCAAGGAAAGACCAAGGGCTTGACTTTTGCTCCACAAAAGGAACAACAACAACAAGCCCTGATGGCATGAAAGGTTGAGTAAAATCCACAATCCTTGTCCTATTTGTGACAATTGTAACATCTCCAACAACTGCATCAAAGTTCTGAACAAGGAAAGGACCAATTAGCAAAATGTTAGGGAAGGATCAGCGTTCCACAATATTGCTACTTGCAGTCCTTTTCAGACCATACATAAATTATCAATGTTAACATAAGAATTAGAAACTCACATTTTGTGCAACGTGTTCCACAAGCTCGTCGTAACTAGGATTCCTTTCACCATTTCCGAATAACATGTATTTTCGTGGAACAGGGTAAGGTAACAATTTTAAGGCTGCTTCAAAGACATCAATGCAATAGCCTTGTACCCCTGGCGGGTCCTTGTCCTTAGAAACAAAGTCTTTGTAGCTCACTCGGTTTGGAACTGCTATCCTTAGTGGCTGTCCATTGTTGGGAAACACCCACCCCCTTGGTGTCGTTGTAACCTGTCCAGGCCATAACACACTGTACAGTTGTTGATTTCTCAGCGAAGATGTGTTAGACGATTTTTTCAGATATAAAGTTTCAGGAGCTATAACCGACAGACCAGAATGATTGGACCAATAGCCAATTCTATGGGATCCACTACCACCAATATTGAGAATTTCATAAGCTGGATGAACTAAATTCTTGTCCGTATCAAACTCAATTTGACCACTCACACCAGTGAAGTTCATTTCCAAAATTGTCTGGAGAAACTGTGGACCACCATCAAAGGTACGAAGTGATGCTAACTGCAACATGCTTCCATTTGTGTCTTGCAACTTAGGGTCACTGGAGAAAGATATATTTCCACCTTCATTAAGATAAGCATCAAGGGCACGAGCTGCTAACCAAACAGAATCGTATGCATAAAATGCATAAGAATTGAAGCTTACAGTCTCTTTGACTCTCTGGCTTTTCAACCTGGAGAGAAGACTCCTCTTGAGATCAGTATCAGGAATGTGATGACGAAAAGCTACAATCCCTTGTAAGAGATCCATTGTGCCAGGATCAGGTGACTCAAAGGAATCCAGCACTGAAGGAAGCCAATCTGTTGCAATCCAAACATAGCCACTGTCCATCATTCTTAGCTTCTTGGCAATAGAGAAAATTTCTAAACCAGTATCAGGATTCACATGCAGAACATAAACCCGCGATTCCATTAAGTTCAATTCATTTAGCAAGTCGCTAATATCACTTTCTGAGGCCCCAGGAGGAAAAGCAGCCTTGTAAGAGATCTTGGCACGTTTCTTTGACAGTGCATCACCCAATACAGAAATTCCATTTCTTCCATTGTCATCATCTACATAGATGGCAATTACCTCCCTCCATCTGCAATAATCAACAAAGGCTGCAACTGCATACATCTGAAAATAGTCGTTCTGAGTAGTGCGGATAAAA